CTCTCTTCCTCCTCTTTATTTTTTTCTGCTTTGCACGTCGAAAAATGTAACATAGAACATTTGCCTTCGCGATATCTCGAAAAGATCGAAATCTTAACGTTAAAAAGAGATTGCAAAGGATGCAGCAATGCAAAATGTAAAAGCAGCAAAAAATGAATGGGATGGAAATGAGAGTACAATAAGTGGTCAAAGGATAACGAAGAAGAAGAAAACGAAAAATGCAAAATAACGTGTATCAGTGTTGACTCGCGTAGAGGGTAAGTATTACGAATTAAAGATATCATGCAGCAGCAGCAGCAACAGCAGCAGCAGCGAAAAGAATGTAAGTTTAAACAACATAGATCAGACATGACAGAAAGAAACAGGAGGAGAAAGTCGTATGTGCCACGACTTCAAGATATCCTTTCCTATCTCATCCTGATCCCAAGGCACGCGTATCCCTCTTGCTCTCCTGCTAAGTAGATATCCTTCTGCACTCTTTTTTTCTTCACGTCTACACAAACCCCCATCCCCTTGCTATACCTGTCTTAACTTCTTTTCTGTATGTCGTTGCCTCTCATCATCCGATTATTTGATTTATTTTCTCGATCAAAACCTTTGATCTTTGGCCTCAAATGGAAAGCAACTTGGCTCATTGTCCACCGTGAAATTCGACGGAATCGCGAAAAGAAAGTCGCGAATTAATTTCAATTCCCGCGATATCGAAGAAACTTGTCAGGCTGAATTACGCTTGATAATTTTTGAGTCAACGCGGAGGATATTTCGTTTGCAAGTATAATTCTATGCTAAACGCTGTAATATTAAGCGCAATAATTAAAATCGCGGTTTCACTTCAGGCTGGAAGCGACCTGCGGAAGCTAAAGACGTCTTGGCAAACGAACGATGCAAATGACGAGGATTACGTATTGCGAATTCTTAACGAGATATTCTTTGTTTCATAAATCACGAAAAACTTGGCGAATATTTCATCGATAATACATTCCGCATGTAGCCTAAGTTCTAATTTCTTTTCTGCCATCGTGTGATAATGTTTAATATCGCATTACCGTGGCCGCGTGATGCGAATGCGAAACGAAATTGACAAGCAATATCTTATAGTCGCATTACTCCGCGAATGCATTAAAGCTTTTGTTAATTATCATTAACAGATCGGCGCACCCGGCCATCTGTGCATTCGTAATCGGCAACGGCATATCCATAATCTATGCGCGTATGCGAGTCGAAAAGTGATTGTCGATATCAGCGTGAGAATTCCCGGCTTACGTGCATAATTAAGCACAAATATCGTCGCATAATTGATCGTGTACGTTACATTATGCAACATTATGCGGAGCACGATAACGGTGTAATTCAATGTATTCTGATTACAGCCCCTCTCTAACCCAGTTTCGGATTCTGATTGCGGGCCTGATTATATTTCGCAATGTCCACACGCGCGCAGTCGCTTTTTGACAATTGAACTGAACTAGTTACGACCGTAATCGATACATGCGCTTCAATAATAAAATACCACACAATTATTTAACAAAAAGAATACGCGTCCATTTCACATGGAATTCTTAACGACGCGGGATATGAGCGCTAAAAATAAAATGTAAAAGCCTACATTTACTAATTTATCCAAGACACGTTCTTTCATTAATAATACGAATTCCAGATTATACATTTGCAACCATGATTCTCTCTGATTTCATCTTAATTAAAACAAATTTTTTTCAAAGGAAAAGTATAACATATTAGCTCTCAAAGTTCTCAATACCGAAAAAAAGCACAATTAACATAAAGCCATTTTACATTAATTTTGCGATAGATCCTCGTGTAATGTCTCTCGATATTAATCATATTGTTATCATTAACAACAATGCAACTAAGAGAATCCATTACATAATAACTTGATACTGACAGCCTACTGTATGAAGCTCTTGTATTCTTGCCATCAAGCAAAATAACTAACGTCAGGGTGTGTAACAATTTGAATACATCGAAACACAATGCGAACCGACGCAAACGGTAAACCATGCATTTACTGGCTTTCATAGTTGTATACCGTAAACTTCACGTCGTATCACCCACAGTTGCAAATTAGCGTTAGCTTACGTCAATACAGCCTTTCTTTCTCGTGTCCGTGTTTCATCTCATCCGCCGGTTACCAGCAATTTCACTCAGATATACGCGCGCGCGTGTTAAGAATATCGCGCATTTTTCAGCGCTTCCTCCCCCAATACATCGATCCATCCGTTGTCTAAATTTCCGAAAGAATCACATACATCTGTTTCGATCTGCGGGGGTGGGTGGGGGCGCGCATTTCGCAACAAGCGCATTTCGCGATCCATCACGGCGGGCTCGCCGAAACAAACAAGCACGGAACGCGTGCGGAATATCGCATCTCGACCGGCGACGTCTTCGCGGGCGATACCAGAATCTCCTTCGCGTTTCCCTTCCTCATGGCTGGAAAGCCGTCAGCGGAGGCTCTTCCTCTCCTTCGCCGACGCGACGAAATAAGATACTTCGTGAAAGTAATTTCGCCGAGAAAAGTAAGTTTTCGTCGAGTAATAGCTTCTGCGCTATTCCCACCGACAGCGGCGGTACTCCACGCGACGCGAGCACGCGAGGAGGGGGATGAGGAGGAGGAGGGGTCGAAGGTGCGCGGGAGAGAGCCCATCTCGAAGGCAGGTCGGTTGGTATTGCCGGAAGAGATTCCGCACTTCGGGCATCACCGGTAGGGGC